ACCCTACACCCAAAGCCCTAAACCCTGAACCCTAAAACCCTAAACCCTAAACCCTAAACCCTAAAACCCTAAACCCTAAACCCTAGAAGACCTGGGTTCTCTGCGATCCCTGACTCCAGAGACTCCCAGAGCCTTTGTGGACGGGAGCAACGACGTGGGTTACGGACTTGTGCGACTGCAGGTAGCTTTTAGGGTTTAGGGTTTAGGGTTTAGGGCTTTAGGGTTTCTAGTATTCAGGATTTAGGCCATTGGGCCTTCGGGTTTGGGGTTTTAGGCTTTGCGTTCGGGACAGCTCAAGAGCTTGAGGCAAGCACATCCTGCATCGCAAATATTTCGACAAGTGACCCTCGACCCCGAACTTGCGGGTTGAAGTAATGTAAGGGCCTCGGCAATTTCCTATATTATTGTGGGGGTCCTTCCTATAATCATACTATAATAAAGGACCCCCCCCCCAAACACTATTCCAATCATTAAGGCTCCTATAGTAGGGTTTAAGATTCCCCCTTCAGTGGCTTTGAGTGTGCAGTATTTGTGTAAAATTAGTGCATGCCTGCATGGCAATATCGAAGTAATTAGTACTTGTATCTGGTTGTAGTAGCCTATGTAGGATAATATGATTATGCAGCAAATCCTTCCAAAAAATAACTATATGTATATCTGTACATATATACACAACATATATATATATATATATATTTCCTACACATGCTTGAGAGGTCCCACGGTATTTCTCCCTCGACAAGGAGAAGGCCATGCAGAGAGGGCTAGAACGAGATTTACTGTAAGCCCGAAAATGCGGCGACGATTACTACAGTAAGGCCTACTTCAAGGATCATGGGACTTAGTAAGTAGGGACCTTAATTGGGGTTATAAGGAATTATAAGTGTAGTCACCTTATGTATAACCTTAGTTACTAAGTCCCATGATCCTTTAAGTACTGTAAGGGGTTTAGGGCTACCAGACGGGATGCTGGAAGAACTCCTGGTTTAGGGACTGTGAAGGGCAAAGGGTCTGCGGTTTCAGGCATTGGGTGACCCAGGTTCAAGGTTCCCCTACACCCTCAACCTTCAACCCTCTACCCTAAACCCCT